AGTAGGTACCCAATATGTATTTGTCTAGTGAATGGATGTTTAAGTTAGTTTGTGCTTTTAGCCATAAAGAGAAAAATTTGCTTGTATAAACAATAGAGCCAATAATCCAGAACAAAAACAAAACTGTTCTCATTGCCTTGTCTGAGTAGTTCAGCAGTGTTTGCTAGCAAGGTATAACTTTTTATATTTTTAATTAAGTCAAAATTAAAAACTGACTTCCAGTCATACTAGGGGCTTCCATGTCAGTACAGATTATGATGCATGTTCATTATTATAGAATATGCTGTTGGGTGGTAATGAATAGGCAAAGGAGGATCGAGATACAGGAAGCAGAGCCTGACCTTTACTTTTTTGCTCGGTGGCATACTCTGCACAGCCACCATTGGGATGCTGCAAGATGGGGAGAAAAGAAAAGGCCAGCGAAATAAAAGAAAATTCAGCAGAGTATCTCCAAAAGGCCTGGAGCTTTGGGAGGAAAACATCGAGGAACACGGGCTAGGAAAGCAAAGGTTAACATTTGGCTTAATGCTGCTTATCCAGTTTGACTGACGTTAATCTACTGTCAGAGACAGATAGTTCTGGATGATCATTGAGAAATACAAAATAGTCTAATTCTGAGATCTATATAAGCTTAGTCATGTATGAAAGACTACAGAGTTAGAGTTGTCTACAGAAAGAAGTTGACTGTGGAAGGGGTTTAGGAAACTTTATACAACTAGAGAAAAGTTCTAAGTTACAAGTTGTCTTGCTTTGGTTTGGAGATGTATGACGAACAAAAATCGCTTCTTGCAGGATTTCTGTTGACCCTTCCTTCATCCACTGTGGGACTGAACGCCAGAAAAGATAGGATACACTTTGCTCAACTGATATTCATACCTCAGTCTTTACGTTCACTACAACCCAGAAATTCTTACAAACAATTCCTTGGATGATTGAAACTCATTTTTGCATATAATTTAAGTACATCCATAAAATGGTGTTTTTCTTTTCTTATTAGACATTTTCTTGTTAATTACACCCTAAGGGTTTTCCTCTATTCAAAACAACCAGGAACAGATGGGTTGACCCACTTTGACCCAAAAGCATATGAATCACATTCAGCAAAATAGGCCAAGTCTGTTCTTCCAGTGAACATGAGAGAGTTGAGAAATCCTCGCCCTTGTGACTAACCATCAGCTTTATATCGAATAAAAAAGATGTTTCTAAGCGACTGGAATATCCACTGGAGAAGAAAAAATGGAGAAAGAAGAGTAAAGCCACCTACCACCAAGCCCCTTTATAATCCACAAAGATAATAATCTCAGCCTGGAAACACTCCCAGACTAAGGTATGCTTTAAAAACTCCTGGAAGAAGTCCATGAGGAGAGTAACTGTATAGGAAGATCAGCACTCTCACCTAACCTGGACCCCGAGATCTCTCAGACACTGAGCCACCAACCAGGTAGCATACACTAGATGGTCTGAGGCCATATATGCAGCATATATACAGCGCATATACAGCAGAGGACTACTATGTGGTCTAGCCTCAGTGAGAGAAGATGCACCTAACTTTTGAGAAACTTGAGGCCTCAGGGAATGGGGAGGTCTGGTGGTGTCGGGGGGACTGTGAGGGATAAGGACACCCCCTTGGAGATGAGGGGAGGAGGAATGGGATGAGGAACTATAGGAGGGCAGAATAGAAGGGGGATAATGAGAGGACTATAAAAAATGATTAAAGATAATTTAAAAACTCAAATAATGAATTGTGTTCTTTTATCTTTTCCAGACTTCACAAAAGTATGTCTCTTTACAATAATTTTTGAGAGTCTATTATGTTACCTGTTAGTCTATGGCCCACAGACATCACTAGAATACATGATCGCTAGATCTTCGTTATTGGTAATACCTCAACATTGACCACTTAGTATATGGTAGCTACAGCTACCACATTATTATTAGGGTATACAATTATATAATTTTTAAGCATAATTAATATGTTTAATTCACACACCAAAAATATGAGATATGATTGTTTTTTCACATCTTACAGATGAGGAAATGAAGACATGGAGATGTAAATACAGTTGCCCAAGGGCATAAATGTCAGAAGTGAAACTGACTCTGTCTCATTTCAGTGATTATAATTTGTGTCAGTAAACCTCTTTGGAGCTATACGTACTTTGAATACTAGTGCATAATTGTTTGTTCCAGCTTCATTCATTTTGTTAATATCCTGTTATGTCATCATTCAAAGTGGTTTCAAAAATAATTTCTGAACATATGTGGGCCTTTCTTTCCTTGAAAATTCTATTTTAGAAACAGGCAAAGAAGAAAATAGGAACAATATATAATATGCAATATTTTTCTTTTCTCTCTTTCTTTATTAAATTGAATTATAGCTGGGCAGTGGTGGTGCACGCCTTTAATCCCAGCACTTGGGAGGCAGAGACAGGCGGATTTCTGAGTTCGAGGCCAGCCTGGTCTACAGAGTGAGTTCCAGGACAACCAGGGCTACACAGAGAAACCCTGTCTCAAAAAAAAAAATATTGAATTATATTCTCATGTAGCCTAGGGTAGCTTCAAACTTGTAGCTGAGAACGATCTCAAACTTTTGATATTCCTGCCTCTACCTTTCAAGTGCTAGAATTACAGTCATGGGCCATTATGTCTGGTATAAGGTGATAGAACCCAAACCCAGGGCCTTGAGCATGATAGACAAATACTTTACAAATTGACTATATGCTCATCACACAGGAAGCAGATTTACAAAGAAACACTAGATAGCTACAACATGAGATAAAGAGGTATATGTATACAGACATGTGAGTGTATACCTAATCCGTATTTTCTTAATCCATTAAGCCTACAAAGTGAATACAGCTCTGATTCTATAAACTTTCATTCCTTGACCCTTAGCCACTCCTGATTTTTTTCCAGTGCCAAGGAGAGCTTCAGAAAAAAAATGAAGATCATATTGTTGATACGAGTTTAGGAACACTGGTCATAGGAAGAGTCAACTGCAGTGATTCTAGCCTGGAGATACAATCCGACTGTCCGTAGCACATACCTTTTAAACTTGTAGATCAGAAACACAGCCAAGCCAATGAATACCACTGAGAGGAGCATAAGCATGGCAGAGCTGCTATGCCCGGCACTAGAGTCCACCAGGGGAGCTAGGAGAGAAGAAGAGACATGCTCACTCTGAAGCTGGAGCTGAGACAGGATGCACAGGAGAACAGAGGCTGACTGTCCACCATGATTTAAATGCCATAAGAAGCTGTCAGTAATGAAAAGAGTTGTTCTCAACCTTAAAGGGAATTTATCTCCTTTGTTATGTCTGGGAACACTTGCTGGTTAGGGTGTAAATTGAGTGTGTATGACTAATAGAGGGAGTAGGGGTTTTGAATTCTTTGTCTACTTAGTCTTCTTAACAATATGGCAGCAAATGACAGCCTTTGATTAACCATGGACACAACCTTGAAATATTTGGCTCTCCCTCTTCTGTACTCTGATGGTACAAGTCCCTTAGGTGGTGAGTTGTAGAAACTCTTTACCAGAAAATTCTGAGATGAGTAAGACCCACTGAACAATCAGCCTCTTAGGGATACACAGCAATTCTGAATGTGACTTACCATTTCTATTCCTTTTGTAAGGCACCCAGCAACAGCTAACTGGTCCTTCTTCCCATGTGAACTCACATACGGTAAAAGGAATGGATCTAAAAGGTTCCTGAGCTGACCTCTAAGAGAACTTCGGAAACTCAAAGACTTCTGAAGAGTCCAAGTAATACCCATGAAACCCAACCATCTCAAATGTAAAAGTCAGAGTTTAAAAATATCAAAGAACTTTTTCTCTAAATATTGTGCAGGTTTTGACTGCAAAGCCCCTTGTAAGAAAGTCCTCTTGTATTACCCCCTAAAATACCCTCAGACACAGGGGACTAACTTTTCTCATCCACTGCCACCCATATAGGCTGTTATTGCATCATCTATAGAAAAGGTTTTAGAGATTATCTCTTCCCTTTTCTGCTTAAAATAACGGCCCGTCCATCCTCACATCCCCTGACTCCTAGCAAGCACTCACCTAATGTCAGCTGTGTGACATAAACAATGACCTGGACACCTGGCTTCAGCTCAAACTGTACCAAGTTTTGATTAAGCGCATTGAATAGTGTCTCTACAATCTGTAAAACAAGAGAGAAGGATCACAGATAGATGTAGCAAGTGATAGTGCTCCCTCATAAGTCAACTGCCAATAAATAAATAAATAAATAAATAAATAAATAGAGCCAAGTTCATTCATGGGATATGGATATCAACTTGGTGCTCACATCCTACAGAGCTGCGTGAAACCCAGAAGTGGAGAGACAGAAAGAGGATGTCAAAGAAGAAAGAGCAGCTTTCCAATTCTCCCCGTGAATGAGAGCTCTAACAGACATAGTATGTCATTCAACTTCTGGCTTAGAGCTCTTTCATCTTTGTCTTTACAACCAGAGGCATGTTGTGGGTTCAATGAAAGATCATCAACTTATCATTAGTTCTTTAATCCGATCAGGTAACATACTGGGTACAGAGACACCTGCAGGGATTAAAGTGCATGCAGAGCCCCAGCCCCAACTTGTGTATATTCCATTCCAGAGACAATGGGAAGCTCACATCAAAGTAGAGAATGCCTCCTTTCATGGGATAATTTCCTCTTTACTTTTCCCCAGCCAGTCTCATAACACATAACATCGATCTTTATCACTGTAATTCCCACTTGAAAGCTGAGACTCATAGCTGTTGTCCCCAACTCATATCTGGTTGCACACACCTTAATATCGCAGCTGCTATTCATCACTGTAATTACCTATTTCCCTAAATGGATGGACAATACAGCTTCCAAATGCAGTGCATGATTGCTACATGCCATTTTGTGATAATGGAGTCTAAGAAAAATGATACATGCACCAAGAAGATGGGTTATTTTTGGTTGACTTCAACATGCATCCCTGTGATGCAAAGAATCTCTTGAGTCCAAAGAAAAGGACAATAGCAGTTCCTCCGTCTGAGCACTGCAGATGGACATAGAGATGGGTGTCATCCTGCTCAGATGAGAACCAGAAGGAGGCAGAGTCTCAGAAATGGTTGCTCCACAGAGAAGCAATTACATTTAAATCACACAGCCTTTTCAGCAGCTTTGTATCTTCTTATCCTAGTCTCCTGACTTAGCATCACAAGAAGATAAGAGAGGGTGACAGAGTGTATAGCCAGAAATATCCCAGCGGAAGCAGACTTGACAGAGAGAAAATGCAGACTAGGGCCCCACTTGCTTCCAGGACTATGTGCTTGTCACATGAACCATGTGTCCAAATAATAATGACAGTCAGTTACAACCCATTTTGTAAATACTGCCCCCTTTGTCAAAGCAAAATGAGGCAATCCATCTCTCTCCAAAGAAATGTATCTAAAAGCACTTTGTTTTCTCTCCAAAAACAGTAGTTAAATTGACCAGTATCTCTAGGAACCATGGAGTTTAAAGACAAAAAGCCCTCATTTCTGTAAACAGATAGAGAAACCTAAGCATGAACACCTCTGCCTGTCTCTGTTTTCTGTCTCTGTGCTTACGTCTGTCCCCTTTACCCTCCCTCTCTTTTTCCTTTCCCTTCTCTATTTCTTTGCTACCCAGAAGCTATTGATAAGACACATGAGCAGATTTCAGGGATCCCAAACTCTGTGATAGGAAGCCAGCAACACTATTCTGTTTTTATTTATTCTGCATAGGGTTTACAATTGTTTAAGATCATGGATGTTGGTGGGAGAGTCACTGGGTAACTGGTAAGCTTTCCTCCCTTTTTGACTAAAGACAATTTTGTATAATTCAGAGTCTGGTGTGGTGTCAGGGTATTAATACAGAATCTGGTGTGGTGGCAGAGACATTAATTCAGTGTTTGGTGTGGTGGCAGGGGTCACTTACTTGTTCTAGATCCCCTTCATGGCCTTTCCTCCTCTCTGTCAAGTTCTTAGGTGGGAGGATGAAAAGCTCTGCTGAAGTGGGGAGACCTGGGAACACGGCCACGAGGATCTGGTCTTCTGGGACACTGGTCACCTGCAAAGCATTTAGATCAAACAGTGAGGGTTCAGGGACCAGGCAACTGCATGATTAGCCAGGAAGAGTATTATTCATAGCCATATGTCCTGTATGAACTTTTAAACACACAGCATTTCAGTCCCAGACTGTAGTGTACACCCAGACATCTCTCCTGTTTCCCCCTGGAGCTGCCAGGTAATGAATCATTGGCTTCTCTTCTGCTCCCATTTACATTTTTACTGAAACTTTGAGGGTATTTCAAATGATTTCTGAAATAAGTCCCTCATGTATTTCCTACTTTTTTCCATTGAGAGAACTAGAGCAGTGGCTAAGAGTTGACTATACTGGCTCCAAATGAGGAGCAAGCTGTTATAAACAGACATAGGGAGAAGCAAACTCAAAATAACAGCAAAAGAACACCTGTTTTCTCCAGTTAAAGTAGGAATGTTTTAGGTTAAGAGTGTTGCTGGTGTGGCTACAGTGGAAGGGGAACCACTCACTGGGACTAGCAACATGAAAAGGAATTGATACCCATCATCAATTTGCTTTCCAAAAAAGTCTCAGGCTATAAAAACATTCATATTCTTCAGTCAGCAATTACAGTGTATTTAGTCGTAAAGAAATAGCTCAAAATGTTTGAAAAACCATACATAGGTGGAAACACAGTATATGTAGTGTAAGAAATAAATGGAAAGCTTAAACATTCAAAAATTAAGAAAACAATGGCATAATCACATAGAAGAACATTATTGTAATTTGAAGGCAATGGTGAGCACTATGAGGTCACATAGATGCTTAGGATGGTTGCAAACTCATATATTTTTATATGATTTTTTGGTTACAAGTGTGTAAAAATATAAAAGTATATAAAACTAAAATTCTAAATGTTAAAATGAGATTATGAGTACATTTTTCTATTCTTGAGTAGATGATTGTATTGATTTCTGTAATTAAAAACTTAAAAGAGGTAAACATCTGACTGAGAAATTGGGTGAGAATGAACTGAATTTTCCCATGGATTATTCTTTCTTTTTATGCACTGATGGTCTTCCATTCAGAATACTGCCTGTTCTCTGCATAAAAATATGACAGAGGATGTGTGATTCAGCTGAAATATCATCTCTCTCCCAGGAGTCTCGTGTGACCATCTGTGTAAAGTAATCTCCTCCAGATTATTCAAATCACCATGACCTCCCTCTCCAGGGATACAGATCATCTCCACTGTTTTCTACAATGGCATCTAAAAGGTTCTGAAAGGTTTTCTAAAAAGTTCTGGCTGTGTGCTTCCTCAGGAATTCTTGAAAATCTTTGAGGATACTTTACTCTTCCAAAGTTTCTTGGCATGGTAAAAACTCAACGAACCACTGAATGCTTCCTGAATTGAATAGAGGCAAAAGTGTAGATTGTTTCCTATTTGCTCAGCTCTGATTCCCATGTAGAACTAGGCTTAAGGATTGGAGCCAACTCTTGGGGATGTTACAAAGAACAAACGAGAGCCAGGAAGAGAGTCGGAAAAAGCAATCAAGTCTAACAAATCTACCAATCAATAAGGCATTGCCTTGCAGTCCAAGATGTCTCAGTTACCCTGCAAGGAGGCATGACCACCAAGTATCTGGAACTCTCTGAGTTCTAGTGCATAAATCAGAGAAGAATGCACTGGGCTAAGGATCACCCAATAGAGCAAAGTGGGTGAACCCATCATTGCATTGCCTTGGCTGGTGTGATCCTAGATTCAAGAATAGTTACATCAGGGTCACTCAGTGATCATAGTGGGACCTCAAGAGCTGTGCTTCTCCATTCACTTAAAGCCATCTGAAGGGCTGCTTGAAGATTTAAGGTCTAGGCATGACATGACATGCAGTCTTCCAAAGGTTTCTTGAAAAGCTCTTAAGTTTTTAGTAGCTACGAACACATGGAACATGACTCCATTCTCGATGATATGGTGAGCATATAGACCATGATCTAAATACTTGCACTCCCCATACAATTTTTGTTTTAAGCAGCAACACCAATATGGTAGTACAGGAAGGAAGGGTTTGGGGAAGGTGATTAGGACAGGAGGGTAGGACACTCATGAATAAGGTCAATGCCTTTATTAAAGTAGTCTGAGATAGTCACGTTGCCCTCTTCCCACCACGTGAACACAAAGTGATAAAATGTTACCCGTGAATCACACTCTTGGCAATGCCTTGATCTTCAACTTTCTCACATGTAGACTTTCAAGAGATAAATATTTGCCATTTATATGTCCAAGTAGCCCAAACAGAATAAAGAAGCATAACACAGCTATCCTATTTGTATCTCTTTCTATAAAAAATTTCATTATAAAAAAATCTAAAGGTCCCTTGAGATAATGCCTCTAAGAATTCCCCTCTGTGCCCCTCACTTATTCTTACTTATTCTGCTTCCTTTATGTAAGCTCACCCTCTACATTTTTCCCTGAGTCTTTTTTCCCTTTTCCTTTCAGACATTTTAGTAATCTTGATTCCCTACCCCCACTTTCCTCCAAAGCAAGACTAAAGAGTTCCAAAGCATTGGTTCTGCCATCTTCCTTCCAGCCTGAACCCCTGTATGACCCTCAAATCTACATTTCCAACTGGTTATGGTCGTGCAGTCATCTCTCATATCCTCCAAACTCACATGGTCCCCAACTACATTTTCCCCCATAGTACTCAAGTATTTAATGGGGAAGACACTTCCTATATACTGTGTGAATTGTAGAGTGTTTCTTTGTCTCTACAATATGTTCCTCTTATCTTTATTGTTCATTTTCTTAATGAGACTTTGACTTCTCTATTCTTGAGATTTTCATTGTCCCCGGAAAATACAACTTTTCCAGTTGTTTTGAAATCATCCACAAATTCTGCCCTTTCTACCCTGGCAGTGTTTCTTTTGCACTGCTACCACAATAGGTACTTGAAAAAAATCTAACTACTGACATTTTCTTTTTTTAATCTTTATTTTATGTGCATTGATGTTTTGCCTGCAAATGTGTCTGTAAGGGAGTGTTAGAAGCCCTGAAAGTTGTGTTATAGAGATGTGAGCTGATGCTGGGAATTGAACCTGAGTCCTCTGTAAGGGCAGCCTGTGTTCTTAATCTCTGAGCCCTCTCTCTTGTCTGCCAACATTTTCTTATCTAAAGAAGACATCATACCTTTCACATACTCTAATGCCTACAACTTTTCTCTTCAGAATCTTCACACTAAGACTTAATCACTCTAGTCAGTCTTTGCCCACTGTGTTCTCCTGTCAGGTAGAGATTGACTACATCAAACTCTATGTCATTTCTGCAATGTAATGAGCTCTTCCAGAAAGAATTGCTTTGCATGGACTGCTCATTCTATCTCAAAAGCACCATCTCTTCCCTGTCAACTGATATATATCCTTTAAAATATGTTCAAATATCTCCTCCAGATCAATTCCAATAGTTCAGGAAGTTTCTGTTGAATTCCATATCTGTGTCAACCTTGTAATCCCTAGTACAGGGAAGTTACACATTTCTCAGTGCCTTTTGGAGATGCTGGTTATGTCTCTGTCATAGAACTAATTGTACATTAAACTTTACTTCTCTACTCAAATGGATTGTTTCATTCATCTCTGTATTCTAGTATATAGCTATGAAAATGCTTAATAAAAGTTTATTTTCACCACAGAGAATAAGATCTTGGCTTAAATCTGTAGGTCTATTTCCCTGGTGGGTTGCTCTGTTTCCTAGTGCTCTTGGTTCATATATGGTCAGTAGTAATCTGGTAAAGTTAAATAATTATTTAAGAAGTTGTAATTATAGGCAAAAGGTAGATAAATGTATAAAATTAGTGTAGATTCTCCAAGTTCATTATCCATTTTCCATTAAGAAGGCCAAGTCCCTGTCTTAGAAGTTCTTGAAACCAACACTGAGCCAATTTCCATATGTAAACACTAGATTAGCCTCTCTTCCATCTCAGATTTCCTGTCCCATTTTTCCTCATTTTTCTCCTTCTCTTCACTGGTTTTTCCTATTCTTCCTTTCCTTTTCTATATGGAGAAATAATCCTTACTTGTCTGTAGAATAGCAGCTTCAATTCTTGGCACTGCTATCTACTTTTCTTAACTCAAAAGTAAGCAATCCAAAGTAGACCCAACTTACTTTAATCAGTGCTCGCTTGATGACGTTGCCAATGTCTTGTCTCCACTCAGGGATATCAGGATTGTGGTAATCCAGATTCGGAGAGAATGATAAGAGCTGTGACTGGAAGTATTCTGCAAGGAGATAGAATGGCAGGGGAAGGAGTGGACTAGGATGAGAGAGGGTTAATGGGCCCTGGACCCATAGCCATGTATGTATATCAGGAAGCAGTTCTCTTCACAGGTTTCCAATACCTTTCCTTATTTTTAGCCTCCCTTTGGCTTCTGAAAAGAAGGAAAATTTCCCACCAGTAGATTTGTGCTCTTCCTCATGTTGCTAACTCCTTTGAAGAATATTGGCTGAAATAGAAGACAAGCAAAAACCCCAAAAGGAGATCTGAACTCCCTTCTGTGGATATCTCAAAGCCAACCTGAAGCGTAACAACCATGGCTTGGTTAGAATGGAAGCCTTTCACCTCTCTGTCATTCAGTTCCATTGTTTATTATGCTGTGAAAAGCCTCAAAGGAGAGGAAAGTAGGTTAAACTTTTTCTCTAGGGATGTAAGGTGCTGCTTCATTTCTTGATCTGGTTGGTGAGTAGACAAGTTGTCCTCCTGGTGCTCATTCAGGAAAATCCAGATTTCTTATGTGCACCAGTTTCAGTGTAACATTTACACTCTAATAAAAATATTCATTTCAGGTCCTAATAAGGGCCTCCAGTGACCAATTGGCAGAGAAGTAGGAAAAAAAGTCACCAGGACAATACTGTAGAAATTGCCTTCATCAAAAACTTACATATGCTTGTGTAACTTTCTAGACAATTACAATGACAGTGGCTGTCTGGAAACTTATGGGAGGTCTGGGGGGATAGGAGCATAAGACCATCAATTTCATTTAAAATAAATGTAGTAATACAAAACCTACTTTTCAGGTTTCAGAACATGTGACCACCCTGCTCCTCACCTTGTCTTCCTTCGCTTAAGCTTATATTTATTTTTTATCGCTGTACATTCACAGTACATGGTATTAAGCTTCATAATGACATTTTCATAGATGAGCATATCCCTCCCATATCCCTCTATAGGAGCCTCCTTTCTACCCCTCCTTTCACTATGGTTTATTCTCCTAGCCAATTTTGCTTTAACTTTCCTGACATATATTATGTGAATATAGCTCCATATGATTTTAGTTTCACTATAAAGCCTTCACAGACAATGGTGCTGGAATTTCCAACAATCAAAACAGGAGAACCACATTTGCTCTGTACAGGTCATCTCATTACCCAAGATATGAGTTCTATAGGTTAGGGAGCATACTCCTCTCGCTTTGTAGATAGATCCCTTGTCCCATGTCACACAGTAAATGCTTCATACATATTGTAGACAACTTAGCAGATCATCATACTGAGCTCATTCTTTTACTTTAGCTTTCCTTGTCTAACAAGTACCCCAAGCATGTGTAAATCTAGATGCACCACAAGACTTGTACCCCTACAAGGGACAATAGATGCCTACCAGTGAACTGCTTATTTTTCAATTTATCTTCTCCATCCAATGAACTCTACATTTGCAGATGTCAATCATATCTCTATTAACCTGAAGAAGTCTAAAGCAGTTTATGGTTGGTACCAGGATAAGAAAAGGAAACTGCATGAGCAGAGGAAAATATCCCATGGTCATGTTCATAGCTTACCATGTACTGCAATCTCTTTTGTATCTTGGATGAGGGCATTCCCAGCAGCTACCTGGACAGTGATGGTGTTGGTTCCCTCTGCAAGGAATGTGAAAGAGATGCTGCTGTCCAAGGTGATTAGGGGCTGCAAGAAAGAAAACAGCAACATCCCTTTAGTCTTCCCTGGGAGTACCAGAGTGCCATTCATTCTTGTAAATCTCAGAATATCATGCATATGCATAGTATGACAGCACCCAAGAGCTCTTCACTTAAAAAGTAAGAAAAGAACCAACAATTTTATTTAGTTCCCCCAAACTGTGGTTATTTCTCTGAGAACTAGTAAGAATATTAATCAGTTTAAAATTCATAAAATTTTAATCCTGAAAAATGAGCAACACTGTTGAGTTGTCATATCACCTTGTTCTTTCTCCTGGGCAAAATCACACCAGTTTTTAAATCCTGTACCCAATGGCCCTTGGAACAAGGAATCCCTTCTGTATCCAGTGTCCCTTCTGTTCTATACTCCATTGGGCTACAGGGATTTTCAAAGAAGTGACTTATTACTTTAGTGCTACCTGATTTAAGCACAGTGCCATTCTTACAACAGAAACACACATAAAGCAATGCAATGGCCTTAAAATGTATTTTTGTTGAATTACATCTGTTTTCACTTGAAAAGCATCTTTGGCATTCTTATTAGTTTGATAATATTCAAACATGCATATATAATAGATTGTGAGTCATTTTCTTTTTTCTTTCTCTTGACTTAGCAAAATATATGAACTTATGAAGGATAAAATGAGAAATATAAGTAGGTGCTTATAGAAGAGAAGGCAGATCTTGAGATGGAAGAGTCGATTTTTCAGTAGGTTTCTTAAAGCCCATATCCTCTAGTGCTGCCTTGGCTCTGGAAGGTAAGGTATAGAAGCTGGAGGCTGAACTAAGGCATATAAGGAAGATATGACTCCCTCTTCTCTCTGCACACAGAAACAAATAATTGCAGAATAATAATGTAGCTTGTTGAAGTATGCACAGAAGTGGCCTCTAAGGGGGTAAGTATGTGCCAGCTCTCACAGTGCATATTCATGACAGGCTGGATATATCCACACAGAGAGATACAAAGTCTTGAAGATGCAGTTTTTAGACTTTGTTGCTTCTGTAAGACTGAAATCCTTTTCTGCTCACCAGATTTGGCAGGGCTTCTGAAGAACTAATTTGATTTCTTCTGTTTCAAATTCTATAGCCTTCCTTGATGATCTGCTGCTGGTAGTTGGACAGAGTTAGAAATACTGCCCTAAGCTTCTGATATCTTTTCTTCAATGTTTATTGAGTAAAATCGAAGGTGAATGTGTGTGTGTGTGTGTGTGTGTGTGTGTGATTATTTGTCACACATATCACTATATAATGTACACATATGTGTATTTGAAGTTGAAAAAAAGATAAGGTAGAAGTGTCTCTATCATACATACCATGATACCACATCTATTTAGAATCTTGTTTTTTTTAATACTGTACTTATTTTTACATATTTTTCTTGCATGTATGTCTGTGCACAACATATTTTCAGAGTCCAAAAGAGGGTATCAAATAGCCCAGACCTAGAGTTACAAAAGATTGAGAGCTACCACATGAGTGCTGGGAATTAAACCCGGATCCTCTGAACGAGCAGCAAATAATTCTAACTGTATGAGTATCGTTCAGAAACTATGCCAGATCTTTGGAAACAAAATGAGACATCAAATTTAATATTGTGATAGTTAAAAGTTGCTTTAAAATGATAATGTCAAATAATGTTGAAGATGCAAAGCAAACTGGGAAGTCCTACGCTATTTTGGTAGAAATATAAAATCACTGCAACCATTTTGGGAAAAGTTTAGCTTGTGCCATTTCACACTTTATGGTCAGCAACTGTAGTCCCTGGAATTTAGTTAAGGGAAAACATTCATGTACATTTAAATAAATTCAAAGCAGCTATTCACCTCAGCTTAAAACGTAGATAGTCTCTAAATTTACCAATAAGAAAACAAAAATTAAACACAGGATTTTCATATAAGAGATAAAAAAGAATATTAATTCATGTATATAGATAGATAGATAGATAGATAGATAGATAGATACACAAAAAAACACAAATTGTGACTTCTAAACCATGAGAGGTGAAAGAGGGCAATTTTATTACATAATTACACTTTTATGATTTTTTGTAGCAGGCAAATCTAATCTATGATGAGGAAGAGTCTGGCATGGAGGCTGGCTGAGAACATACAGGAAACTTGCAGAAGGACAGTTCTATGGTATCATCACAGGAGGGCTACCCAAAGAACTGCTTTTCAGATTGCAAATATATCCCTCAGATTCATGTATTTGATTGTTGTAACATTTTATATTATTATCCAAGGAGGAAAACTTTCAAGAAACCATGAACTATAGTCAATGATTTGCAAGCTTAATGATTTAGGACAAAGCATGTATGCTGTAATTCACTTTAAAATAAAATTTAAAAATCAAGAGTAATGGATGGATAGACTGGCCAAGATAGACGTAGGACATTTCCATAATAAATATTATGATGAATATTCTGATCATTTTATTATATATCTAATTTTTTTAGTAATAAAATATTAGGTGAAAGTTTTTCAGAAGGGATAATAAGAATGCTTTTATCTTTCCAGACTCTGAATGATTCCATTGGATGGTGACTATCTTAAACTGTCCTCTGTCCAGTCTTCTGCCTCTTACTTCCTTCATTGCTCAGCATCAAGTCTTTTTTCCTCTTTTCCTTGATTTTCCTTCAGGAAACGTTTCTCAGTCCTAAGTGGGACATGTGGTCCTCTCCCCTGCCCAGACGATATTTTATATCCCAAGACTTAGCTGGTTATGGCATGTTTATCAATAGCATCATGTCCTCTGAGAGGAGCTTAGTTCCTCCTGCTGTACAAAATCTTATCTCGTCTCCATCTGGCTGCTTCCCCAAGTTCCAGAGCCAAGAGAGGGTATAGGGCTAAAGGACAAAGGGAACACACCATCAGAGGTGGGTGAGCGCAAGCCTCATGCCAGCCAGTCAGGGCACGGAGCCACAGCAAACAAACTCTGATGAATGTGGATGCTTGGTCTCTGGGTGGCAGGCCACAGACAGGCATCTATGCTAGACAAATAGCAGGGGCTAATTCTGTTTTCCAAATTGCTTTTGTTTTTCATCAGCAGTTATGGCACCATGGCTGAGTTCACCTTCCCCAGAAAGCTGGAGCAGTAAACAGGATCCTTGAGTTCTTCATTGGCCACTGATACAGAATGCCCAATGCTAAATTAAATCAAGTATTTTAAGGTTCATTTACTCAAATCTATTAGGCATGCAGACACATTTATTAAGCCAGACCTCTGTTAATCCCAGCAAATTGGCCATTCAGAGACCCACAAACCCAGCAGGCAGCAGATTGAATTCTCAGCTCTGCTTTGTCCGAGCTGCAGGGCCAGCTTGCAATGTGGCCCCTTAGAACAATACTTCCTGCCTGCCTAGGCTTTGGGTTACACTCCTTACAATGAAGACTCTTTCACATATGACAGGTCACAAATTATCCATCAGAGCCTGGCAAGAAATAATAAAAGCTCCAAGAAACTATTTAGTTATAAGATTTCCACTTGACTAATGGACTAGCGAGTGAACTGCAGGGAAATCTCTGGATACAGGCTACACCAGCAGTCTACACAGGAAGTCAGGAGAATGTTACACATCATACAATACCCATAGTTTATAATATGCACCTTGATCAAGCCTACCACTGCCAAATTGAACAAACAATGCAATTGTTATGCTTGCCTCACTTAGAACTTTCCGTGTATTATACAACGATGTGTGAAAAGCACTTATCATACGAAATGAAAAGGCAGAATATATAATTGTTGGAATACCATGCTGAGAACTATGTTTAAAAAACTTAAATATTCACAAAGGCAAGAAGGAAATAAAGAAAAATAGTATTTATAGCTGTGTTATAACTGTGGATTGATGTGGAAGTTTAGTTAAAAATGATTTAACATGTATGTACAAATACAGCAAAAACATACACACGAGAGAGAAAGAGAGAAAGAGAGGGGGGAGGGAGGGAGGGAAGAAGGGAGAGGAAGGGAGGGAAGAAGGGAGAGGGAGGGAGGGAAGAAGGGAGAGGGA